CGCAGCGAGAAAGTTCTGGAAGTACCTTGGATCGCTGGAGGGAAAGGACCAAGATGTTACCGTAATTGACGAGAGCACGGGGAATTCGCCAGAAGACCTTGGAACCCACCTCACCAAGTACCTGACGGAGACATTTGCTCCTGAGGAGGTGTCCACACCACAAGAAGGCCGACTTGCCCCGGATCAATCGGACTCCAACCTAGAGGGGGACATCGGCCGAGTGATGGTTGTGCGTGCACTGACACGCTTGAAAGGGGCTACCTCCCAGGGATTGGACGGGGTCCCGGCGAGCGTTCTCAAGTCCTTGGGAAAAGATGCAGTGGAGCAGCTGGCGGATATTTTTGGAGCAATCTTAAGGGGAGAGGAACCTGTGCCCCAAGACTGGAGGGTCGGCCGCGTGGTTCTGATCCCGAAAAGAGGGGGCGACAAACAGTTCCTCAAGGATTATCGGCCCCTGACCGTGACCTCTACGGTATACCGGACCTTCGCCCACATTATCAAGGAACATATGGCAGCATGGGCTGAAGAGAACGAACTGCTCACCGAACTTCAGGGCGGATTTCGGAGGGGTCGAAGGTTGGAAGACAACTTGTTCACCCTCACGCAGTGTATTGAAATTGCCCGAAAACAGGAAAGAAGACTGCTGTGCTGCTTTCTAGATGTGGCAAAAGCATATGACAGTGTGCCGCACGCTCAACTCGTGCGACGTTTGGAGGAGCTCCACCTTCCTCATCGGTGGCTAGCTGTCATACGGCGCCTATACTCACGCAATACAGTAATGACGCAACTGAAGGGAGTCGACTCAGAGCAAGTCACAGTCACGAGGGGTCTCCGACAGGGGTGCCCACTCTCCCCGCTTCTTTATATTCTGTATGTGTCAGGGTTGGAGGAACGCCTGATCCAGTCGGAGGTGGGTTTTTCCCTGACACATATGGAAGGAGGCGCAGAGGTGAAGTGGATGCTGCCGGGCCTCACCTATGCGGACGATATTGTATTGACGGCGGAGACGGTGGAGGACCTGCAGCGTCTAATATGTATATGTGAGACGGAGGCGGCTACATTGCCCTATTGAAAAAACCAGCTTAAGCTGGTCCCAGCTTCAAGCTGGGTTATTGCCCCAGCATGCCCAGCTTGGCATGCTGGTCATGCTGGTTGATCTGGTCATACTGGTCATGATGGTTGATCTGGTCCCAGCTTCAAGCTGGGTTATTGCCCCAGCATGCCCAGTTTGGCATGCTGGTCATGCTGTTAAACTGGTCATGCTGGTGAACTTCCCAACCAGTTTAACCTGTTTAAATTAATACACAGAATAAAAAAGCCAAGCTCGTCAGAAAAGCCAACTCGGCATCCAATTTATTATTTTCGTACTTGCGGCAGCCTCACATGAACTCAAATGCTACACATCCTCGGCGCTGACACAGTACTAACCGACGCACAGATTCTCGGTGCAAATTGTCTACAATGTTAATAAAACCAGATTGCTTATCTCTCAACACGAAAAAAATACTAGACACAGGCCAAAAACAGGCAATAGCAGACGAAAATACTACACGGACGAGAGAAGCGAACCTGGGTCCCGCCAGCGATGGGGGCGAAGCGGCAACTTGCGTGGTCGGCAGAGGCGAGGAAATCCGTGTGGCTTGGATGGCATTGGCGATACTCCTCGGCACCGCCGTCATTCTTGGGCACACACACGTTCGAAGACACGAAGCGACGCCGCAGTCGGGACGTCTGACATCTTCCCGCACTGAACGGACTGCCGCTCGCTGTCTTCTCAAAACCCGCTTCGCTTGCACCGTCGTTCAACTAGTCTCCAAACAACGCGCACACAGCCGTCCCTTCGATCTGCCCTCTGCCCAAGCTATCCAAACGCGTCTTCGATTCTCCGTTTCTACCACTCTCTCTCTCTCTCTCTCTTTTCTCGCACACAAAGGTAGCTTGCAGCGCGCCTGACGCGCCCGGTGGTCTACCAAAAACGAGAGGACAAAGAACAGGACGTGGCCTCGTTCCAGCAGCCGACCTTGTCGCGCGCGCTCCCAGCAATGCCAGTTCGGCTATCTCTAGCCGACCTTGGCGTGCGCGCTCCCAGCATGACCAGCTTGACCACCACGATTATTATTTCGACCAGATTCACCAGCTTGTCTCCCAGCATGACCAGCTCGTCTCCCAGCTTGACCACATTGGCTCCATGGAAAACCAGTTTGACCAGTTAAGACCAGACTGGCTCCCAGCTACACCAGATTGAATCTAAAACCAGATTCGAGTGAGACCATGCTGGTTTTTACTTAGACCAGACTGACCAGCTTAAATTCCAGCTTGCCCAGCTTAAACCAGCTTGATTGCCAGCTAAACCAGTTTAATTACCACATTGACCAGTTTGACCACCTTGATTACCAGCTTGACCACCTTAATTACCAGCTTGACCAGTTTGATTTTCATGCTGGTTTTTCCAATAGGGTGGGCCTTCGTTTCAACGCCAAAAAGTCGGCAGTCCTTCAATTAGCCGGGTCCGATGAGGCTAAATTAAACAGCCTGGTGCTGAACGGCGAGCAAGCACAAGTACAGGAGTCGTACAAATACCTGGGAGTTGTACTGACCAACAAGCCGGAGTACTTGTCCGATCATTACTCCCACCTCCGACAGGCAGCCGTGCGAGGAACGAATGTGCTCCGAAAACGTAATCTTTGGAGTTGCAATCGTTTTCTGGTGACTCGCGAACTCTGGAAGGCGGTTGTGGTGCCTGGACTAACCTTCGCCAACGCGGTTCTTTGTGTCCCTGGCACAGTGCGGGAAGTAATGGAACGTCGTCAACGAGAGGTCGGGAGACAGGCTCTGGGCTGTCACGGAATGGTGGCCACCGAAGCGGTCCAGGGAGATCTTGGGTGGTCGTCGTTTGAGGCCAGGGAGGCGACCAGTAAGATAACCTACGACAGTCGTCTCCGTCTCATGGACCGCGGCCGGTGGGCCAAGAGACTCTTCGTCTACACATATCTCACGGGAATGCAGACTGGCTGGAGGAAGCGGCTGTACCAGTTAGAGAAGAAATACGGCTTCTTTTCAACCCCAGTAACTATCACATCAGACAGGAAGTGGGAAATGGAGATTCGAAACAGGGTGAGAGAGGAGGAGGCAGCTCGGTGGGCAGAAACGGCGAAGTCCAAGTCGACGCTATATATGTACCATCGATATAAGCACAACATATCGGCAGAGACTAGGCTATACGACAACAGCCTGGGCAGCCGGCTCCTCTTTGAGTCACGCGCAGGAGGGCTGCGAACGCAGATGTATCGCCGTCGCTTCGACCAGACGGTGGAATCCGCAGCATGCCGTGTGTGTGGTCAGGCGGATGAGACAATTGAACACCTTGTGCTGTCGTGCACCGGTCTGCAACCAGTTCAACCGGCGGAGTGTGGACAGGCAACCCGGGAGCTCGCACTGGCAGAGGCACTCGGCTTTGGGTCTGCTTCCAGCTCAGTGGCAGACTCTGCGGGTGGGACTAACGGCAACAACAACACCGACGCTACACCGAGAACCAACGGAGGGTGGCGTGAGCAGGTGGAAGCCACGAAGCGAAGGCTAGAGAACTGGTGGATGCTAGTTCACCAACGGGGATAACCAAATCCCCACTGGCTAGGTCCCAAACTCTACGGGACCGCCCGATTCAAAAGGGAACAGCCGCAAACCATCATCATCATCACCCGGAGTGAGAGTTCGCGGTGCTCCACATAGATGGCGCCACAAAAAAAGAGAAAGCCGAGGGGGACACAATGCGGTCGCTCATCTGGCTCTCGTTTCCCCACCTGTCTATCTTACACCCTGGTGGTGACGGTGTTTTCCCAGAAATTAAAATGGGGCTCCGGTGACAAAGAGGCACAAGGTGGAAATTTTTCTTTATTTACTTCACTCCTTTTCCGTTGATTTTTCCTGCGTGGGGGCAGAGGTGCATGCGTGGTGCCCGGTAGAGTTTCTAGAACTCTACATTCCACATTACAGTTTCAACATTTAATGAAAAATGCGTGATTTACTCAAGAAATCATAAAGTAAAGCAAAAAGCAATGTCAGAAAATATCAGTCACGGTATCAACACTGTGATGTCGCAATGAATGTCAATAACGAATATATATTCGACTGAAGAAGGATCTGTCAGCACAGATACGTTTCCACTACTTCGAAAAATCGTCAGCGAAATTAAAAGCTTTCTCTTAGCGATGCGAACACATATCAGAACAGGGGGCGTTCATTAATAAATCGTGGTCGCCAGTGGTCCCAAGATCGGGAAAACAACGGGGAGGTCACCGGAACACCTTCCTCCCTTCCCAAAAGCAGGAAAAGAAGAGGCGAAACCTCTTCGCCTGTCAGCAGTGAGCCGCCTCAATAATCAACAGCCGCATCCGAGGATCTGAGCGAGGTGACCGGAAGGAGGGGATCGAGGGCCCTCCAAGACAGGGGCCCTAATCTGGACAGTTGGGGAAGAAAGGCGTCGAGGAACTCGACCTCCGCGACTGTTTTCGACAAGTGTCCAGACGAGGACCCACAGGTCGGAACGGACAGCGAATAAGACCGAGCGTTCCGACCCGCGGCCGTTATCACAGCTGTCGCAGAAGGGGAACCACAGGAATACCCACAAGTTTAAAAATAAAAATAACAATAAACTTTTTTTTATTTATTTAATTATTATTATTTTTTATTTTTTTTGCTAGCTGGTGTTAAAGTAAATTTTTCCCACTGTGGAAGCTACGTTAGAGTTTATTCCGAATAGTATACAACTGCCTCCTCAGGTTGGAATTTTTTGTCGCGGTGTGCAGTCTTTTTCTTTTAGCATGCTGTGAGCACAAGAACAGCGTAGACAAAGAAGAAGTGGTTGGCGTTGCAGCTAGTAATGGCCTAGAGCACCCCATTCGATTCTACTCTTCAAAATTCTGTAATATATGGCCCGCTGATAGCTTCCCGGCAACGAGGCCATTCACGAAATTCCGATGTCCAATCTTCTTACACCGACAATGGCGAAGGTATTCCAGGATTCCACAATGAAAAGGTACGTGGTTTTCGACCCATGGGCCACGACATGAGTGGCGCATTTTGCACTGGCAGCAGCATGTTTTTTAATGCACACATTTGAGGCTGAAGATCGACATCAGTTCAACGAATACATGCTCGCATTTTTCCGGAGATTTTGTTTTTATTGAGAACACAAATGCCATTTCCCCTGTTTTTAGACAACGGAATGAAAGGTCTACCGTCAAGTTCAGCCATATAGAAAAGGCCCTCCCCATACTTCTATGCGAACAAAATGTATTGTCAGATGTAACCATAAAGAACTCAAAATCGTATCCTGTGGGAGGTAACAAATTCAAGTATTTTTTTAAATAAAATTACGCTTTTATTAAGTAAACGCTTTTTTCGGTTTTCTTCTAGTCAATACACGTTCCCACGAAAACGGTACACGAGGATTCAATGAGACAAAATAACGGGACGGCAGAAATTAACTTCCCGGCAAAAACGGAAAGTGCCTTTTTTTATTTTGGTCTGTCGAGCTCCCAAGGGAGTCTAGAGCCTCCCTACAAGGGAGTAGTCACATGTGGGGCCCTCTGCTGACAGCCTGATACAAACGGCAAGCATTTAAAGCCGGTCGGTTGGATTTCTCGGGGGTCGCCATAATTTGGGTGCCAGATGAATCGGCCACCAGTAGCAAAAAAACAACCTTAAAAAAAAAAAAAAAGAGCTGGTGGAAATTAATTAGTGGAAGGCCTCACGCTGAGAAAACTAAAAGGATGCGGACAACAAATGAATCTTCAACTGGTCAAAGTACACGCGGCTAGAGTGACCACCCGTCCCGCGACTCGCGGGACTGTCCCGCATTGAGGGCTCGTGTCCCGCGCCCCGCAAGAAATTCCCGAATCTTCAAAGTGTCCCGCATTTCATACTGTAGCAAAACTCATTCTGCAACTCATGGCGCTGCAGAACAACGGAGCACGGGGAAGCGCGGAGATCGCTGGTAATCATGTGAATCGTAATGGTACACCATTTTCTATCCAGGCATTGCGGGAAGCGACCGTTGTCCTTCCAGGAAACCCGACGCGCATGTTCCGATGTGCCTCCTCTCCCTTGGGGGGCAAAATATTCTAAGAAAAATTTCTCGCCAAAAGTTTCAATATAAAATATTATAATTATTTTCAGGTCGCTGTGTCAATGCGAAAGGGTTGCTGTTCATTTTTGTTTTAGTGAAAACAGTCACACACGGCTGTCTTCGAAACGGTCGAGAAAAAAATGTTAAAAATTTGTGTAGGACCATGTTGATAAAAGTCAACATAAAAGTAAGCGTTGACAATAACCCGAAAAATATTTACTGTTTCTTATTTCCATTGGATGCATTGAGTTCTGCTACAGTTGATTTTTATATTTTCAACTTCGACACATTTAATAACACATTTGACATAAATAATATATCACTGGAACTGGGAGTGAAAATTAATAGACCTATATTGTTATATTACCCAAGCATCAAGGAAAATGCAGGGATTGGTGTTCCACGCGCCGCACGTGGTGGCCTCAGCAGTAGCAACTTTTCTAAAACAAATACCTAAAACAAATGGCGTCTTGCACGCGCGTTCGTCAACGCTTTATTTTGGTTATTTACTTCGAATCTTTTATACTGGGAAGGCATGCACGTGTGGCGCGTGGAACACCAATCCTTGCATTCTCCTTGATGCTTGGGTAATATAGCAAATGAATGCAATTAGCAGGTGTATGAACATCACAGGATATTAAATGTGTTAACAGAGCCTCGATTCGTGGTGTGTGTGTTAATAAATTTCCTCTTATTTTCCCGGCCTTGTTTTTTTTTCCATACCACGATATGAATTAATTTAGACTTTAATTGACAACTTCCAATAAATGTAATTTTATGTATGAAAGTGCTAGTTTATTGATTTTGGTCTCGTTTATTTTTATGTGCTCATACGATGATGGATGCTCGGATCTGAGCCATGTAGGAAGGACCAATTATGTGAGTTTAAATCTATAAGAAAACAAAATCGCTGTGTTATTAATGAAATATATTGAAAGAGGCTCTAGCGCAAGTTCGTCTGCTTCTAGCACAGGGGTTGCAATGATGTCAGTTTAGCTTACTGAAAAGAAAAAAAAAAGCCGTTTACAAATCCCTGTAACGCCGAATTGGAGCGCAGCTCTTGAGGAGGAGGAGGCAAGGGTACTGAGGGGGGTCACGTCACCTGCGGGTAGTCACGTGACCTCGTGGATCACGTGACCCCCCCCCCCCCCCCCCCCCCGCTTACGCCGACGCCGCTCAGGCTGGAAATGGGCCCCTAAGAGCTGCGCTCTAAAAAAATAGTGGGTAGACCTCAAGGCACTTAGCACTGAGGTCTACCCACTACGTCCTTTTAATCAAAGCCAATCAGATCTTGGCGTTGTTATGCCGTCACCGCAACTCCTGCGCAAGCAGACGACTTGCTCTCAGCATAGGATTATGGTTATAACCCACTATCCTTCAATCAGAGCCAATCAGAGCTCGGCGTTCTGACGTCACCACAACCCCAGCAAAAGAAGCAGCTCCGCGTAGGTCCCTGACGTCGGCTGGGCTCGAAGATGGCGAACTGGGGCGTGGACATGGCGTTCGCGTGACGTGTCTGTGACGTAGTTGGCGAGTTGTGAGCCACGCCCGTTGGCCAAACTCTTCCCCTATCTGTGGTTCTGCACTGCGCATGCGCAGAAGCTTCATTTCACTCGAACCTGATTCGTGCGCACGCGCAGTGCGGGCGTGTGGGCAAATGTGGGCTTCTTTAAAAAGAGCGTGTTGCAGGGGCGGATCCAGAACTCCGTGTTTTAGAGCGCAGCTCTTAGGGGCCCGTTTCCAGCCTGAGCGGCGTCGGCGTCGGCGTCGGCGTAACCGGGGGGGGGGGGGGGGGGTCACGTACCGAGGTCACGTGACCTCGGGGCCATCACACGTTACCCCCCGAGGTCACGTGACCCCCCCCCCCTCCGAGATCACGTGACCCCCCCCCCCCCCCCGAGGTCACGTGACTACCCGCAGGCGTCGTGATCCCCCTCAGTACCCTTCCCTACTCCTCCTTAATTAAAGGGATACTCCACCGATTTTTTTAGCTACCTCAACTAACTATATTTTCTGACTCCCCGGCCTTTAGTCTCTCCGGTATGCTATTTAGAATCGCGAAATTCATAATAGTTATTGCGAAATCGGCAAATGAAAATGATGCAAAAACCAACATTCAAATATACGCGCGCTTTTCAGGGCCGTGACGTCAGTGGCAGGCAGGCTTGCCAGTCGAGCAAGCAGCCAAAAAATAGAATATGCCAATCATTTGTTCCGCGCTGGAGCGCGGGTACTGCAGCGAGCTTCCCAAGCATTCATTTGACACCATGAAACTGCTTCGAATCAGTTTAAAACAAAATCTACAGCTCAAAAAGTGAACCCGTGCCTTCCACTGACGTCACTTTTTCATTGTTGCCAGTAGAGACTTCGAGCTTGAAAAACACGGTGACGACCAAAACTCTAAATTCAATAACTTCGCGAAAAAATAATATTTTGACCTAATATTTGGGGTACTATTTTCGCGATGTTTGTTGGTTAGTTCAGCAAAATTTCAAGCAAATCGGAGACAATGAAAAAATCGGTGGAGTAGCCCTTTAAGAGCTGCGCTCCAATTCGGCGTTACAGGAATTTGTAAACGGCTTTCATTTTTTTGTCTTTTTTTTGAGGGGGGGGGTTGGCGGGGCAGAAAATTTGTAAGGATGCTATTCTCCCATTTTTCGTGTGCACCGGGGGGTCCACCCACATCAAACTGCCCTCCGAGAAGGGGGGAGGGGGGGTCGACTTTGTTTCGGGGGGGGGGGGGGGGGGTGGGGGCCGCCCCCGTCGCCCTTCCTTTGGATCCGCCCCTGGCGTGTTGGCGTATAAGGACGTGCTGCCCCCTTTTCAGCACTTCCGGCGGCGGAGGCGGAGCCAAGTTCAGCCGGTGGCTGTCGCAGATCAGCGACCCCCGCACCAGGCGCAACAGCGACAACAACAATGGCGAGGAGGAGGACGGCGACGACCCCTGGGGCGACAGGCTGGGGCGACTGGACCTACAGGGTGACGTCAGGATGGGCTTCGAGGACGATTTCCACCTGACCCTCATCCCCAACTTCCTGCACGACTCGGACGCCTACGTTGCTAGCCTCGGTAACAACTTCGTTTTGATGGCTTGCTCGTCACGTCATCGTATCATGCTTATAAAAACACAACTTCAGTGGTGCGAAGAAATTGTACGCTGCAGAGGACGCGCTCTTAGCAGAACCACAGTGGCCGCGGGTGTGACGTTAATGCAAGCCGTGATTAGAAGTTGCGGGGGGGTTCTCGCTTTGCAGCAGCCGAACATGGGCGCCGCCATAATCGACCTTCAGTTTTTGTTTCCTCTTATTTTGATCACTTCGCATGGGCCATCCGGAAGTATATCTGATCTGTGGGGGCGACGTCTGGGGGCTCATGCAACTCATGTCGCATCGTGTAATTCACCTCTAGGCTCTCTCTCGCGGCAACACGGGTGGTGGGAGGGGAGAAGAGGGAGGGGGGGAGGGGTCGGAGCAGCTTTGATAGTTGGGGCATGCCCCCACTGGTCTAAAACCTGTGGGGGCGACTTAGCCGGGTTATCCTGAGGGGACTTACAGGGGTTGGGATGGGTGATGAAATGAAAACTAGATGAGGTTAACGGAAAAAAATGAAAGCCGTTTACAACTCCCTGTAACGCAGAATTAGAGCGCAGCTCTTGAGGAGGAGGAGGGAAGGGCACTGGGGGGGTGGGTCAAGTGACCTCGGGTGGCGGGGGGTCACGTGATTTTGGGGGTCACGTGACAATGCTGATAACGTCATCAGTGACGTCACTGATGACGTCATCAGTGGTGATGACGATGCGGATGCCGGTGACGTCACTAATGACGTCATCAGTGATGATGACGATGCGGATGCCAGTGACGTCATCCGTGACGTCACTGATGACGTCATCAGTGGCGATGACGTCAACGGGGGTCACGTGACCTCGGTGGGTCACGTGACCTTGGGAGGGGTGTCACGTGACCTGGGTAACCATCGTGACTCTCGTGAGGGTAATCCTAGTAACCCTCGTGAGGGTAACTCTCGTGACCCTCGTGAGGGTAACCCTTTTGAGGGTAACTAACCCTCGTGAGAGTAACCCTTGTAACCCTCACGAGGGTTACTCGCGGTTACGCCGACGGCGACGCCGCTCAAGCCGGGACGGGCGCCTAAGAGCTGCGCTCTAAAAAAAAAGGTCATACGAAACTTTGCGTGTGTGTCTTGAACAAAAATCCTGTCCTGGAGATTCCATTTCTACCCCCTCAAAAAAGAAAAAAAAAAAAAAAAAAGTTCGCACAGGAATTGAAGTTGTGACCTCTGCGTATTAGCACGGCGCTCTTCCGACTAAATTAGCAGGCCATGGAATTTTACCGCTGACAGCTGCGCACTCGAATTTAGCTGCACTAGCTGCACGTCGCTCATCCCGCGCTCCTCACACCAAAACCAGTCTTTCTGACCGACGACTTCTAAAGACAACTGACGCATTTGAAATCGAACGCGCGTGTCGGGGTGGGTACTACGATTTGCCTTAAACAATTCTATGTAGTAACAGCACGATTTCTGCATTGAGCTAAACCGCTGTTTATTTATTTATTTTTTTTATTTTCGTTTTAATCTTGATTTTTTTTTTTTTTTTAAGTCGAGCAATGTGAAATACTACGTTAGGCTGCTTGACTTTGTACAAAGTTCTGTCGGTTGTTATAACCGGGCAAAAACGAAAACACTCACATTAATTTTTCCTTTCAATGTATGACACATAGCCTATTTTTTCCCCTTTAAACTAAACCGTTTTGGCATATTTCATGCCACAAATAAAACAAAAATGTCAAACATCGTATCTTTGACGTTCTGGTGACGTTCGGAGCCTTGTATCTCGGGATTTATTATAGAATTTGCGGATTACATACAATATAACCTGTAGGCCTATACATGTGCTATCGACTGGTATTATTTTAGCTTAATTTATTTTCACGAAATAGTTTATCTAAATTTTAAAATTTCGTTAAAAAGTAAATTTTTTTATAATTTTGGGTTCGCGTTAAAAAAGGCATTTTTTTATTTATTTCTTATTTTTCAATCATGTTCCCAATAATGTTAACTTCTGTGCGCATACACAACCCCCCCCCCTTTTTTTTTGTATTTTTTGTAGAACACCTACGTGCACTCGAACCGACAAAAGTGTAGATTCACAAGGGCAGGGGGGTTGGGTTCGGGAGGCGAAGAGGACTGCAGAAGCTGGGGTGGAGATTACGTCAAAAATAGGTGAAGCAAGAAAAAAAAAAAAAAAAAGACATAACAAACTTTGCATGTGTGTCCTGACTTTATGCATAAAAAAAAAAAAAAAAAAAAAAGTGGCCTGCACAGGGATCGAACCTGTGACCTTCGCGTTATTAGCACGACGCTCTAACCGACTGAGCTAGCAGGCCATGGTGTTCCAATGGTGGATGTTGCAAACTAGAATTTAGCTGCACGCCGCTCATCCCGCACTTTTCATACCAGAACATTTTTAATCAACAACTTATAATAATAATAATAATAACGAAGTGTCTAGCGTTACGTCCGACGTAGCCCAAATTACGTCCAAATCTCCGCCTTCCCTAGGTTCACGGGGGAGCTGGCAAAGCTTTGACGCTGAAAGAATAAAGCATATATTTGGGGGGTACGGTTGGTCGTCCGTCCGAAATGTGTTTCATTCTTTCAGGGTCAGTTCCGGAAATATATATATATATATATTTTTTTTTGCCTCCTGCTTTGTCCAGAAGGCGTTGCGGAAAAACTAAACCGGCTTGTAGCGCCCCCTTTGGTTTGTCTATCGGTATTGGCCCGGTAGTACCACAGTACAAACTTGCGCATTTGAATTTGTCCCGCGTGAAAGCGTTAGCGGCGTTAACCGGGGCCCGGCCTATGAATTCCCACCTTGTGATTGTTTTACGGCACGGAATCGAGCCAATTCCTAATGTGGAAAGCTTCTTTGGTTCCTCAAAACCTCGCAAAGAGAAGAAACTGAGCGATGCTTGCTACTGCAAGCTGCGTCCACGCCGTACAAGAAGCCGCAAATTTGGCGTAGGCACTGTCACTCGCAAAAACAGCGAGCTTGCTTGAGAAATTGCCCGTTCACACTGGACAATTTCTTGCGTTTTTTTTTTTTTTTTTACGTTACGCTACGAATTTTTTACGAACGCGCTTTGCAAACAAAAACTCTCAAACTGGAGTCCCTCCGTACAACCAACGCGATCAGCTGGTGACCAACCTCAAAAATGCGCGAAAGCAGACGCAAGCGATCGTGCGGCGACCGGCCGTCATTTGGCCCAGCAGATCGTTCCTAGTGCACGCTGCTTCTCGAGCTCTTGCAGCTTTTCTTGCACATTTGCGCTGTAAGCTTGACGACGGAACGTAAGGTCAGCAGTAGGCCCTTCAGCACATGCTTGTTTCTCTCTAGTGCCCGCGCACCCACGTCTTTTCAAAGGAAAGCTCTAGCTGGAGACGGCACTTTTACTGCTTATTTCACGTTGCAAAAGATGCAGTTCGATCGGATGCGTGCTCCTGTTTGTAAAATTCGCATGACGCACGTTTCGATGCATGCCGTGTTTAGCAGAATTTGGATGTCTAGAAAAGCAATCGTCTCGTTTACTCAAACGCTCAGTGGCTAGTATCGTTCCCTCCGCTCGATTTCGTACGGCTTTGATTGAGATTCTTTCTGTTCTTGACGGTTGACGACGCAATAGTTCTGTCGATGTTTAGAATACATCGAGGCCTGCTTGCTCCAGGTTTCGACCTGCTTGGACGAAGGAAAAATTACTAGCTTGCGGCAAGCTCGAATCCCTGGGGCAACGTTGTGCGGTGACGACTACGAGTGACACATTTTGAGTCGTGAGCACGCCAACGCACAAATAACAGCTACATGCAGACGTAAACGAATCCTGGAGAAAAGCTCACCGGAGAAAAGTTCATCGGAGTTAAGCTCACCGGAGAAAAGCTCACTGCCACGTTTGACGCAAAATCCGCCAAGTTAAAAAAAAAAAAAAATCGGTGAGCTTTTTTCCGTCGCTTGACATAAACAGTCACCCGAACGGGTTTGTTATTGTGCAGTGGCCGCGGGACTTGTGCTACTTAAACACACTACCGCCCGCCACCGGAGGGCGCCACCATACGTTCAAAGCTTCAGTGCAGGAGGCCGCGCTGGCTGAGCTTGGCTCAAAGGTGGTGGGGTAGCATCTGTGAGTGGCAGCATCAAGCAGACTGTTTGTCTACGTCCCCCTCCCCCCGCATTGCTATGCGAAGAGCAAGTTGTCCGCTTCTCGCGCAGAAGTTTCGGTGGCATAAGAAAGACGCCGAGCTCCAATTGAAGGATAGTGGGTAGACCTCAAAGCAAGCTGCCTTGAGGTCTTCATTCAGAACCAACCGGAGCTCGGCATTCTGACGTCACCACAACCCCAGCAAAAGAAGCAGACAAACTTGCGCTCCGCATAGCATTTTTTGTTTCTCCTTTTGGCTTCTGGAAATCGATGCAGAGAGCAAGCCTGCTTTCTGCGCAGGAGTTACGGTGACGTCAGAACTATGCTGTGCTCTGATTGGCTTTGATTGAAAGATATATAATGGGTAGACCTCAATGCTAGATGCCTTGATGTCTACGCAATATTTTTTCAATCAGCCAATAAGAGCTCAGCACTCTGATATCATCACAACCCCTGTGCAGGAAGCAGAAAAACTTGCACTCTGTATTCTCACGAAATGTACATGATAAATGCACCACCTAAAGACACCTTTGTGAAGAGTTTCATTGCGCTCATTTTATTGGCTGATTTATGCGGTTCATATATTACGCTCGGACATCGCTCGGGAACACCCTGTATAACAAAGCATGGTGAATGCAGCCACTCAGCATTCTTCTGCGGGGTGAACATTTCCAAGATCCCTCTTCTCCCTGGTGCAGGCAGATCAGGTCACTTAGCGCGTGCATGAAGGACGTGCGCGCAATGCGCAGAAAACGACAGAGCCATTTTGTTGTGCACAGATGTTGTGCACAGAGGGGCGACGACACTGTGCGCTTATGGCCCGGTGACATGGTAAGATGAGTGCGCGTCAAGAACGGCGTGGCAGGCCGAAGAACGGAATTGCAGCCTGTGTGCATCCACAGGTCTTCAAAACTGATGGCAGGAGACCTGTGGCAATCTCCGGTTGCTAGGGCTGGTGCCGTCCCGCAGCGATGCTGCGAACTCTATAAATGTGTGCTCCAACGGCGTCCGAGGTCAGCGCATGTACCAGGGCACTCATGCTAACGAATTTTAAAAAGAAGGTATGGGTGCACCTGGAAGAAGAACTACTCCGAAAGGCGTCCTTTTCAACCATTATAGTCTCATTTTTATCAAATTTTTGGGGTATATTCGTGGCTGTGAAAAAGGATTCCATGAAGTCTTACATAAAAGTGTTACATAAAATAAAGTATTACATCAAAAACACCCAGAGTTGAGAAGCGGTAACGCCAATTATTTTAATGAAACATGCAATAGACGTCTGTCATGCAGCTGTGGAAGCAAAGAAAAAAAATAATGCCAATTTAATCAATTTCATGTTTCTAACTTGATCAGATTTTACAATCTGGCAGACAAAGGTCCTGCCATACAAGCTGATATCTTGTCCGATACTTCATTGTGCCTGGCAAATGTTCATTTTTCAGTCATTTTAATTTTATTTATTTCATCCGGCCCTCTTTCGAGAAAATTACATAAGGAGAGAGCCATTGTACTTCATTTTCGCTGCAATCATGGGATCCTTTTTTTTTTCTACACTGCACTTGGGACCAGGGCCGTACCCAGAAAAAAATTTCGGGGGGGGGGGGGGGGGGGGGCGGGGGGGTTTCGGGGACAACGGCGGCCATTTTGAAAGTGTCTATTGTCTTATTTTCGCCTATGAATCATGTGCATCAGTGGCATATGATGGAGAGTTACAGCAAACCGGAGAACCGGTCCCGGTTTGGTACCCAGTAGCCGACCGGCGCCACTGCGCGTGCGCAGAGGTGGAGATTAAAATCGGCTGGCTGCCAGTGCACCGACCAGGGTCGTACCCAGAAAACAATTTCAGGGGGGGGTCAGAACCCCCTAATCCCCCCCCTGGTTACGGCCCTGCTTGGGACCAGTTTTTCCGAGATCATTTTCTTCTACACCCACTTTCAGTGCTACAGAACAAGGCACTACGAATGCATGATGACTACCCATAACAAGATATAGCATGTTCTCATAAATGTCCAACAATCCAATGATGATAGCGAATGAAGTGAGTAGACTGAATTTCAGAAAGGTTCCAACCCGTCAAACAGAAATGTTTTTTTTTTTTCCCTCTCTCACTCTACCGATTCTCGGCGTGAAGTAAAAAAGAAAAGAGCTTTTGAAGGAAATTTGAACCCCCCCCCCCCCCCCCCCTCCAGTCGGTGCACCATTGGGGTGAGCAATGAGCAATACAATAAATATATATACAGTCAAACAAACAAAAGACAAAAGTCTTGATGTCGCGTGTAATTGTCGCATGCAGAGAACAAGCTCGAACGACTTCATCACATCAGCCGAAATGTCAGCCCCAAAGAGATGCTGACACTCATGGCGAAGGCCAGGGCAATGCGACTCAAGAATGCCGAGCTGAACGTTGGGCCCAACCAAAGCACCGAGGACTCCTACGAAGACTCCGACTATGCTGGTGCCTTCAATTTTTGGACCGCTCTGGTTGTGCCTGTGAGTTACCCTGAAGGAAGCGTAAATTCATCATATATTAAAAAAAAAAAAGCTTTTAGTTTTTTTGCAAGTCAAAATTAATGCAATAGATCGGAATCAGTCCTTTGATGGGGTAGGAAAACTTTCATTTCCAGTACATGGTATAACCTATGTCCACATAGATATCGCCTTTCCTGTAAATAAAGTTTAGCCATTGTCTTACATCTCAGCAACACTGTTGGAATATTGATGGTCGTTTGAAAACTTTTATAAGGTAGCCCTATTTGTGCTCCATGGTAGAGGTCGCAGGTTATTTGGAACATCTTACACCTAGAGAGAGGAGGTGATAAATATTTTCCTCACATCAACTATAGAAGATTTAACTTAACCCATGAATAATAAATGTTTTGAAGCATATATCTTTCAGAGTACTGAGTATGACCACACATCTTGCACACATTGCTCCTCAAAGGTCACAATGAATCGATACAGCAGAGGTGACTACCAACATCTTGTTGTACTGTACTGGCAACATACAAGCCATACGGTAGCAAGTTTGCCCGGTGCCGATCTCCGATTGGAAGGATAGTGGACGGACACAAAGCCTAGCTACCTTTGTCTCTACCTTCTGTATCCCTCCAATCGGAGCAACCAAGATCGTCGTCTGCTCCTCACGCAGAGGGATCCAATGATGTCAGGGTCAGGTGCTAAGGAGCCAAACACCGGCATCATCTGCTAGTCCTAGTAATGGCTGTCTTACCTTTACTACGGCTTTCAGAAATCCACCGATCCTTCACAAAGAAGGAGTTGGCCCTTAAGAAAGGGGTACATTGCATTTGTTGACTAACAACTACCAGACGCGCAACAACGAACGAGAAACCCACGACCCAGATGTCGTCTGCTCCCCAGCCACTGAAGAGTGAACAGCTGTGGGGGCGGAGCTTCCTCGTTTCAACCAAATACTTTACTAGGGGAATACAGGACATTCCCCTCATTCGCATCAGACAGAACGACGGTCACGCCATAAACCACCCCTGGTGGAGTGGTTTAATTGACGCCACCTCTCTCCTCCATCTCCCTCCTCTCGCCGCCAGAGCACATGAAGGCGACACCTGAGAATGCAGTGCGGTCGACGGGGTCGCGGATGCGAGGACAGTACTGCTGCCGCTGTCACGTGCTTCCGCAGATCTTCGTTGTATTTTTTGTTATGTATTCTCGGGGAGTGTCCCGTATTCCCCTAGCTAGTAAGGTATTTGTTACAACCGACCACTCCCTCTTACCGTGCCTCCTCTCTTGGGCGAGCTCCCCCCTCTCGTGCACGAAATAACAAGTTTTGGCATGATTCGTAAGCCACATACATAGTGCAAACCTCTTACAATGCAGCTTTCAAGACGTCTCTTCCCGAGGTTGCCGCTCTCCAAGGAAGAGACGCAAGGCCTGCTCAAGTACGACTTCCTCCACATGCAATGCGAGGACGAAGCTAAGGCGGTAGCCATCGCCGCACCAAATACTACGGAGAGCAGCAACCCGAGGCCAACCGAAACGCCGCAGGACACCAGCCGGGAGCCGCAGCGTAGAAAGAGCGAAGAACGGCCCATCATTGTGGTAAAAGAACTGCGACTTGCCGATAACAAGAAACCCTGGAAGTCTAGGGATGCTTGCAAGGACGGCCTCCGGGCACCGGCAGCAAGAGCAAGGGCCGTACTTGTGAACGTCTTATTAAGTTCAAATGCAGCAGACGTTATGATCCGATGGATCTAATTGAGCGGCGCCAAAAGTGCATCATCGTGGAGCTTGTCGTCTTTGTGCAACGGCCATCGGTGGCTAAACCAATTACGCACAGAAAAAAGCGCAAGTTCAGGGCACACTCACTGTGCACAATTGGTTCAGCCGGCAATGGCAGATGCACAAAGACGACGAGCACCATGACAATGCACTTTTGGCTGCACAGGATGGTAGGGTTGGCTGCGGTCGGACTTACCTACATCAAATGGAGTACAGTTACACGACGCCCTTCCACGACCGTAAAATGCCGGGCAAGCGCCCACTCAAAATTGAGAGAAAATTGCAAAAAAATGGGGGATGGGCACTTGTACGGTCATCAATTTTACATATCAATGTACTTTGCATATTTTCTCAGATCTTACAAATTTGGGTATGGGCGCTTAGTGTGGCATGGGCGGATGCACGGTATTCTACGGTAGGTTCATTTCTGACGTGGCCATGACATCGTATAGTCCAATGGTAAGAACTGTAAGAAGCAACAATGCTCAGGTGTGCGCCCTGGAAAAAATGTATTACTACAAGGATGTGCTATGTGGGATGAAGATTGAGGTCTTCAAGGAAGCTTGAAAGCTGTAGGATTGATGACATGTAACAATATTGGTTCTAGAAAAAGGTTTAGTGGGGTACCACCTAGTTGTATGAGGCTTTTTTGTATGGCCATAGCTTTGGAAAAGTGTGTAGCAGTGGCTTTCAATATCTTGGCGGTCTGTAAAAGTGTAAAATGTGAGACTGTGTACAAATCACGAGGAAGCTAGAGTGCAAAACCTCCAGGGAAAACTGACTGGTTTGCATAAAATGGAGGTAGGCTTACCCGTCCCTAGACTTCGCTCACCAACAAATGTTCGAGGGTTGATTGTTTGAATAAGAACGCTTTTAGTTCTTTCAAATCAAAGTGACAACAATTCTAAGATCTTTGCAAAAGTTTAGAAAGCGATACACCATCACCTTTCTATCACAAAGTGCTTAAAACGTGCGATAACTGTACTCTATCACTGCCTGCGTATTATTTCCGACCGAAAAATCTTTTCCCATTTCCAAAAGAAAAAAAGTTACGAGTTTCTTGCTGCATCCTGCAAATGCACTGAGGTGACAAGAGCCGAGACGCTGCGCACACTTCTGCCCACAGACTGATACAGTGGAATCTCGTTGATACGATTTGGCATAATACTTTTGTTTCTTTCCCCCCCAACATCCCATACGAGCAGTGTATTTTGATACAGACAATACAATCATATTTTTGCTTGAAATCAAATATTACATGCTTGAAATCAAATATTACAACTCCGAAAGCGCAACGGGCCGTGCAACGGCCCGTTGCGCTGTCACAGCAGGAGCCACAGCTAACGCTGGGGTGTTTCAACATGGTCACCCAGTCGGGCGTTGCTCTTCACCATCAAGCGGAAAGTAGCGCACTCTGGTTTCACCCTGTGGCTCGGTGTGCGTTGCACCCAGTAGGTAGCGTTGGCGGTGTTAGGCGCCTCTTGCATAATTTTCTCCATGTATTTTCTTACCTTTTTCCAAGTGCACTTTGTCTCGCTTTGTTTGTTCAGCGCCTCACTGGTTTGTTTGTTCTCTGGTGCTTCTCCTCCGGTGCTCCCTATTACGGCTCTCGTGGTATCGTTAACCACTGTGACAATGTCAAGAAAAAACACGACTTGGCTTGACCTACAAGACAGTTTCTGGCGAGGGGAATCATGCCGACGCAACAGTTGTCTCGGACTGGATGTCAACTTTGCCAGCGCTGATATCCCAGTATCGACCACAAGATGTGTTCAGTGCCGACGAAGCGAGTCTCTTCATCAACCTTCAGCCCGAAAAAAGTCTTAGTATGAAGGGCGAGAAATGCCAAGAAGAAAAAAAAAGCAAGGAAAGAGTGACAGTCCTCCTCTGTTTCAATGCAGACGGAAGCGAGAAACTTAAGGCCAACTGTAATAGACCCTTTGCAAAAATTCCAAAAGCTCGCACACGCCGCGCGACGAATAATGGGAGTCCTCGATACGCCCCTCCTCCCGCTACCATGTGACCACATGGCATACGCGAGCAGGCACAGGTTACCACGGCAACGACTTTCGAGCTGCGAGTCGGGTGAGAGACCTTTGCACCACCTCTATCGTCTGCTGTGCCAACGCTTTGTCGAACCTGGTCGAAACCTGCCACGGTTGCGGTGCAAACTAAATGGATTCGGTGACACTTCAATATGTGAAGGTAAGTTACAACGAATAACATATTGAAATAAGTTCACCTGTTGCGATGCCTTTACGCTGCCACAGATACGGTACGCTGCCAACGACGTACGACTCGGCGAATGGGCGGGATGGCGGATGGCTGCAACGGCTGCTGGCTCTGGCGGTAGCTGCCGGGACGTGCGCGCAGTCACAACGAGGAAACGCGTGATCTGTACCGAGGGTTCCCAAAATTCGCTGCTATCGTGGCACTGTAGGTTTTGCAAAGGGTCTATTGAGAAGTTCTGGAAGCCGCGCTGTTTCTCGCGTAACCCGTTCCTTCCGGTCACCTACAAGGCAAACAAGAAGGCATGGATGACAGGCGCTTTCTTTTCTCAGTTTCTCACTGTTCTCGACTCCAAGACGCGTACCGAAAACAGAAACATTCTTTTGTTTGTCGAAAACTGTGCTGCACACCTGGTTGACGTCGGCTGGCTCCGAAACGTAAAGGTAATTTTTTTGCCACCAAACACCACCAGCCATTTGCAGCCCCTGGAAGCGGGCATTATCACAAACGTGAAGCATCATTTTTGAAGCTTGCTGGTGAGGCCCCTTCTAGCCAGGATCGATCGAAATGACACCAACTTGAAGACTGATCTCCTTGATGCCATTCACTTTTTGGCGATATCCTGGGATCGTGTGAAGTCAGAAGTCATCACAAACTGCTCCAAGAAATGTGGATTTTTCGGTGCACAGGATGATGCGCTTAGCATCGAGGAAGACGACGGTGGTATTCAGATTCCGGACTGGGATCACCTGAACATGGACGTTTCTCCAGAGGAGTTCGTGTCGGCGGATGACCACTTGGCGACATGCGGGTTGCATACTCTTCAAGATGACGACGAAGATGACGACACACAAGGGTTCGGAGACGACTGCGGGGTCATTGTGCGGTAACTGTAGGCGATGCGCTCGAAGCGTTTGACACTCTTCGGGCTTTCGTCATTAACGCCAAACTGGCCGACCAAACTGCGAATTTTTTTTTTAACTTTCAAAAGAAAACCCAAGCCAAAGTGATTGACTATTTCAAGGCTGCGGAATAAAAGCAAGTTTCTCACCGGGTACGCATATTTTATTACATTTTTGACCTCATTTTAGATAAAATGATTTTCGGGTAATAAATTTTTTTTTTTTTTTTCGGTTCCCGTGAAAATTGTATTAACGAGATTCCACTGTACACGTAATCATTCTCCATCACCGTCCAAAATTTGGCAAAGGTGCAGAGATTCTATTGTCCCGTGACATTGACGTCGCATGACTGTGGTGTCAGTGTCACATGATGTCTCACAACATTACAATTTCCCAGCTAAATTTAGCGATGTCATGATTTCACAATCTCCCCGCTAAATTTAGGGTGAGAATCTCTCCACAACGTAACAGGGAAACGATTAGTGCAACGCCAGTGTTACGTGACACTGCGCAATTCCCCACTAAGTTTAGCGGACCACACTGTGCACCGTACACACATCAGATACGCTGATAAATGTAATCAATATTGGCTGTCACCGTAAAAGAACATCTCTTGCATTCCTCTTCGTAGTATGAGAGTCCCGAGGCCAATGAGCTCCAGATCCCAAAGGGCTGGGTGGAGGACGAGATACAGCAGAAAATCCAAGCGGAAACCTGCACCCTTCCAGACACCGTCGTGGCCCCAGCCAACCGCTCCGCGCTGTCGCTCAACACCAACGGCGGAACCGTCCCCCAGGAGGCATCTACACTCACGTGAGCAGACGTAAAGCTTTGTTTAAAAGCCGTTGCACAGGCGGCACTACCTTACAGGCAGAAAATCCTTCCTCAGTATCCCTCTCACACTCCTCCTTCCTCGTCGTCACAAAAGAAAGGGTATGTCGGTTGTACACCAACAAGCGGGTTTACAAACCAACCCTTGTTTGCCCGAACCAGGTCTGGGCACTGCCATGCGCAGAAACCAGATCCGCGCAAGGTGAAGCATTTGCGCACATGCAATGCCGACTGCTCTGCCACTACATTGCCTGGATGTCAGAGATTTGACTTGGTGTAAACTCTGTTTCACCTTACCTTAGACCACAATAAACGCTACGAGCCATTCCAGCCAACCCAGCGTATCACGTGGCTTCGCACCTTGAGTGCCACTGCTCCACTCTGGGAGGTCACATGACAATCACCCGGCGCTGGATTTGCTCCAATGGCTCTTAGAATCCGCCACGGTCTATTGTAAAGTGAAACAGAATAATTGTCCCCGCAGAGAAATCAAGAGTCTCCTTCTCTCTGAGACGGAAAGGAGGAGTGAAAGGGCGACTTCCTCCTTCGTGCTTGCACGTTGGGCCCTTTGAGATGGCCTTTGATGCTCGGTTGAAAAGGACCTGCAATCATTAAAGGAACTGCCGTAAATGTTCCTCCTGCCGCAGTTCCATCACAAGCCCAAGCAGACGAAGCGAAGACGCATTGTACCACTTCGCCCACTTCATGTCCTCTGCGACGTCTACGATGGAGAGCACGAGAGTCGAGTACCCGTCGGAGAGCCGCCTGCTTCTGCTGCAAGAACGCCTCTCCCGCTCGAAGTTGCCTTCAAAAGAGCGGGTCCCTTTCATGTCCCTCTATGGCGCTAGCATTGCTCACATGCAGCAATCATTAAATATGGTGGACATGGAGATTGCATCGGCAATGGCCCAGGGAAAATCCTTTGAGATCTTGCAGGAGCCTAATAATCGAGAATGCAGAGTCATCGTCAGCCGGTCGTCTCCTTCCCTGAAGACGGTGACGGAGCCTCAGAAGTTCCAAGCGGAATGTCAGCCGGGTAGCAGAGCTAGGCAGTACCATTTAGTCAAGGAGAGCCCAGGAGAGGGGGAGGGCGTGGAAAATGAGAACCAAGAGCAGGGCTACCTCGAACAAAGACAGGAAGGACAGGATGGACAAAGACAGGAATGTATGGGACAGCTAGATTTAGAACTCAGGGAGCTACAAGAGTACAGTCCAGAAAAAAACCGCCATGCTTGCGAGGAAAGTGGTACAGGAAAGCACGTGGGGTACCAGGATGCAGCCCAGAACATAATCATCCATGAGTGTGTGATCGCTTCGTCGCCACAGGAGGACGTACCAGGAGTAGAACAGTCGACGCCAGTAGTCAGAGTCAAAGAGGAAGTCGTGCTGCTGAAATGTCAAGAGGCCCCATCACAGGACTCGACGCTCCAGGAGGTTACTGCGGCATCGTCATCATCGTGCGAGAGGTTGCCAATGGAGCAAGGACTGTGGGCAGCTGGTTTGGATTCGGCAGCGTTCCAGGTGCCTTCGGCAGAGGACGTGGTTCCGCACATGTCCTCTCTGGTGAGGGCCAGCGAAGACGAGGACGAGCAGTCGTCTGTGCCGCCTGGAAGCCAGGTGAGCCAGTCTTGAGGCCATCGGTGGCCCCTTGGGTGTGCCAGCAAGTGGCCCGATCTCATTGCTTGTTTTACTAAACTTTTAACCAACTGTAAAGGTGGTGCCTTTGTTATAGAAAGATCTCACAGAATGATGCTACCTACGCATAAACATTACTCGTAATTTTGATGTACACTGAGCGACACTGTTAACGCAAAAGCGACTTCGGCGCTTTTTTACATTTTATTTTGAAAGGGTGCTGGTGGGCATAAGAATTTACCATTTAGGTCTGTATACCAGCTGAGCACTTTCCACCACTACAGTAGTTTTGATGACAATTTTTCAATACTGAGAAAAAATCAGAATAAACCAGCGATGGCTCGCTCACGCCAATGGTGCCGCAGAAGTCACTCAAATCGTGCAATGAAATTATAAATGAACCTCTGTAGGAGAGCCTATTAAACAGCAAAAGCCTGGCTTGTCCGGCAACATTTGTCCGCAACATTTGCAACATACCTTATTTGACGTCATTTCACATAACAATGATAATTTCAAGAGTGTAGTGTGAGCACATATTGCTTTGAAATAAATCTTAATTGCACGAGAAAAACAGCCTGCTACAGCCACATAGCTCTGGCAGCAAAATCTCCTTTCAGTCGTAGTGTCAATAGCAAAACAGTGTACTGTTTGCCATTTTCGAAGCCCAATCGAGCTGTTGCGATTAATTCCTGGCTTTTAACCTCGCAGGGTGGCTACGGGCAGTCCTCAACCATGCTTCAAACTCTTTCCAAGGCAAGCGAAAGAACCAATGACAGTGACAGGGAGTCCGAGCGATTCAGCCATTACAGCGACCCCCAGAGCAACCTCCATGGCACCGAATCCGAAGAGACTGTCACGAAGGAAGAGGGACAGGCGCCAATGATACGGATGTTTGGCTCCATTCCTCAAGACATCCACACCACGCTCAAGACCAGCTTTTGTTCCTGGGTCCAGCACAAACGCCTGGAAAGCCTGGAGACTGCTCGCGACGCTGTCAGTTCCACGGGCTCCCTTCCGGCAGTCGGTTTCGAAAGCACGGAGCACTCAAGACTACTCTTCAAGGTTTACGGAGAAGAGACGAAGGCATCGTCAACAACCAGCAAGAACTCGGAGCCCATCACGAGCAAAGCGTCTTGGCCGTTTTCCGAGGTTGAGACCATTGTGGAGGAGCAGCCGAAGAGCGTGCTCTCTGGCATGACGACCAATTCCCTACTGAGCTTAAAATCTACCGACACAGCAACAGTTGTGCCAATGGACGAAAACAGACCTGCGGTGCATCCTCCTGGAGCAGTTGTGGCCACGTCATTAGCATTCAAAAGCCGCAAGCGTTCCGTGCACTGGTTCGAGAATTGTGTCCAAGATGCAGACGGACATTTTGTAGAGAGAGGCTCCGACTCCCCTAGCCCCCAGCACGAAGACAGCAATCCAGGTACCAGAAAAAAGGCCAGCAAGAGCTTCTCGTGCGACCTCGTAGGAAAGGCCGCTGAAATCCACAAACACGTCGAACAGGAAATGGTTGCCGCAGATGAGCCCCAATTCCTAAAAGCTGATTCTAGGAAAATAGCGGAATACGAAGAGCTGTCGACAGAACATCAGGCCCCATTGACAGTTCTGGAAGTCACCATGACTGCTCCAGCCCCAGGTACTTATGCAGACGAACAGAGAACCTCATCGACACAAGACAAGTCCAAACCTTTGGCAGACAGCGGACAGGAGGAATCCAATGGTAAGCGTCCCAACACTGACACGACAGTGCTTCATTGTAGTGAAATTGTGTACCATGGTCATTTTTCTTTCCTCGCCGGTTCTTGCAAGACTTCGTCCACGGCGCACTCTTCGCTGAACGTCGTCCGGACAATCCGGATCAACGCTTCGAAGCAGTTCAACTCTTCTCTGCCGAAACGGTCTGCCACCAGCCTCGCGAAGAGTGACAGCGCTTTCAACAAGTCCTTTCTGCTGCCAAGTGCCCTGGCGACACCGAACAAGCACAAAATAACACAAAATCTAATCGTCAAGTACAGAGCAGACGTGTGCAGTCCTGCTTCAAGATCAACACCTCAGTCCAAGATCAAAGGAAGAACCGAATGCAGTGCTCTATCTTTCACTCCGAGCTGTCATCCTTCTACTATTATTGAACAACACGTGGAAGAAGTGCCAGAATTACTCAAGGTAGTCAGGAAAACAGATGAGGAGTGCTGTTCAACAGCTATTGAGCAAAATATACCAACGGTAGTTGACATGCCTCCTGGTCCCACCGCACTCGCCCAAGTTGCCAAAAGTCAAGGGTTTGTCGGATCCATGGCTGAAGAGGATGCTGCAATCAACAGAGTTGTTGCGAGAAGGGGCGCAACCATTGAACATAAAGTCGACTATGCATTAGCTGAACCCTCTTCTAAAGGAGGGAAACTGTTCACAAATACAGAGGAAGATCTGCTGGAAGTCAAACGTCCAGTTGAAGACCATGGCTCAGTCACCCCAGTTATGGATGGTTGCATATCGGTGAAGGTAACTCAGCAAGACAGCAGCGAATTCAAAACAGCAACCCAGGAGAATGGTCCAGTCACAGCCATTGCTAGTAACTCAATACAATGCACATGTGAAGGTCATGCCCTAGATAAGCTAGTTGCTGAAGCTTGCAAATTAAGTATGGTAACTCAAGATAACAATAGGTCCAAAACACCTGCCAAAAACGACAAGTTTGCAACATATACTGCTGCGAATTCACCGCCATCTCCTGCCAAGGATGCTGCACCAGTCACACCAGCTGCTGAAAGTTTGAGAGCAATGTTAGCTCAAGACAATGATGAGTACGGAATAACTGCTGAAAGGAGCAACTCAGTTGCACCCATGGCTTCTAATCTTATAGGTCCTCTGACTGGAAAGGGCTACCCCTTCCAATCTCCATCATACAATCTCACCCCACTCATTTCCACTGGAGAAAACTATGTTTCAAATGCACTAACTGATGGAGGCTGCACAGCAAGAATCTCCACTGCAGGTTGCATAGCTCAAACTGCTATGGCTTCAAGAGAGAACATGTTTGGCAAACTGACTAACAAAAGTAAGGAAGCCGAAGGAGCCTCCAGTGAGAAAGACATAGCTAAGTCAGCTCCTGTGGAGCGAGGAACAGTGTCACTGGGTGCCAGTAATGATGCCGTAGACACATCCGATTGCTGCTGCAAGCAACTGCTTGTTGCAAGACTGCACAGAGCTTCCCTAGTTGCCGATGCTTTAGCTAAACATGCTGCCGGACGGCGAGCTTCAACTATATCAGCTAATACTGACTTAAGCATAGCCGCATTAGAAACCCGAGAGCGAGCCACAGATAGATTAGCAGTTCCCAAACAAAAGATACCCCTGTCAGCTACTGAAAAATCTACTCAAACTATGACCGAAGTCGAAATTGGCACATTCAGTTCAGCCGAGACAGATCTCAGCGTACAACAAGAGCTTGGCAGGAGCTCAGTGGAAGAGAGCACTGCAGTAGTCACTGAAGATTCGGGCGGTAATGCAATTATTGTAGGGCAAAGTGTACTCTGGACCAATGGCGAAGGCACTGCGGCACGCGTAGAAAACAATGACAAGCAAGAAAGAGGCACTCTGTGCGTTCACCTTCGGCCTGGCCCCCTGTTGTCTAGAAGCGATCTTCATGAGGGCAGATCAGGCTCCCTGCCTCGACGTCCCAGCAATCTGAGTGCATACGAAATCCTCTACAACCAATCCGTATCCGACATTAGCCAGTGACACCCCGTGAAAGGGGCCGATTGGTCACACTGGGACTACTCAATATATAAAGCAAAGGTTTTGCCAGAACACCTTGACTGATCGCTTTTTTTAGTGCTGAATGTAGCGGCTCCGTCAGAATTTATTTTACAAATGCTGCACAGCATATGAAGTTTGTCCAAATATATGCTGCTTTATCTCACGAGGGTAGATGGGAAATGTGGCTGGAGTAAACAGATACTGCAACAAAAATAGAAATATGCACAGCACATACAAAGTTAGGTTAAATGTGAAGATTAAGAGACCTAAAGCCTTAGTCCACCTGAGCGACAAGCAGCAACAACTGACATCGACCAACATCAAGCATATGCAGTATGCACGCGTAGGTATCTTTGGCAAACTTCCGTCCTTTGTGCTTACTTTATGAGCACCGATATTGCAAGCCTGTCAAAGATACCTCAGTGTGCAAGCTGCATATGCTGAACATTCGTTGTTATTGATTACTGCTGTTTGTTGCTCGAGTGAAACAAGGGCATAAATGATACTACTGCATATTTATTTTTAATATATTCCTACATTTTACGCCTTAAAGGGATGCTGAACTGAAATCTGGATTCCACAAAGCACGGTGGCAAAAGTGTGCAACGGGATGCTACAAACATCAAAACATCACTCACACAACGATATATTGAACGGATGACCATATTTCTCAAAAAAAGGAGGCGCATTTGACAGATGTGTTTACGTCTTGTTTCTCCGAGAAGGAGAGGGAACGGCCTCGCGTCTTCTCTGCCTCGCCGCCTTGAGGGGGCGAAGCGAAGAGAGGAGGAAACGAAATATCTTCAAGTCACGCGCCTCGTTCAATCTCAACCTCTTTTTCCAAAAATATGGGTGTCCATTCAAGATATCGCCTTACGAGTAGTGTTGTAGGGACGGTAGCGTCCTGCCTACAGCTCCTGCATTGTTTTCTGAAATCTAAATTTCGGTTCACCATCCCTTTAAATTTCCCATTTTGGCAAGTGACTACTGATCTCTGAGATGCATCTTAGGAGATTCCTGGCATGACCTCTCATCAGGATGCCGGCACGTCGACAATTTCTGACCTGCCTTCGAGCTTTGCCACCTTGTGGTAAAGCTTGCCAGTTCTAATGCCTAAAGCATTAATGACTGCACTTTATCCTCACCTGGATAATTCTACCGCCTATCTGCTGAAATGTGCCGTCATGCCTAACATCCACTGACTTCATGCTTCACATTTCTTACAACTAACAAGCATTGTTGTACAAATATGTGAAAGACATGTCACGAGCGTTCTCCAGAACAACGAAGAGATATTGATGGTACAACATTGCTCAGTTCAGTGATGCCATGTCCCTCCACCGTTTTATGAGGCATGCGCTTTGTATACTGATGCCTTTTCCGCCACTTGTCAAAAGAAACTGATCGAGGGGCTTTAGTCACATATCTAGAAGTTATCAGCGCCTCCCGTGCCGCAGCATTTTGTTGGTGTGACAGGTGTGTAGTGTCATCAAAGCCACCAGACATGCGATTCTGATTCTGTGGAACACTTTGATCGCACGAGCAAACAAAGTCAAAATATTTGGCACAATGTGGAGCAGAACTGCTAAACGCACCATAGATGAAAGTGTACCGGAGCAATGCTTATCCGAATACTCGGTGTTGCAGTTACGCATCATCTTCAATATAAAGAGACGGTAAATCAAAAAGGAATTTTTATTCACTGAGGCCAACATTATCAAAAAGCTGAAGTTGCAACTACCGGCATGCCAGCTTTCAGCAACGCGTTATGTAAGTGAGGACGGCTCCCCTCCCCCCATCAAAACAGTCAAATCAACCGAAAAAGTTGTAAACAACATTCGAATCTCTAACGTATGGCATTCTTCCCCACACTGCACGACCTCAGCAACCCATAATCGTCCAGGCGTAACCAAACCAATCGACGACTGAATCCCGACAGCAATGTTTGCGACACTCTCCAGAGGCGATTTATACAGCCCCCAAGGATTTCCTACAACAAAGTACACATACCTATAAAGTTCACACCAGCAGCGCTCCTCCCAGAAATTTGCTACACTCCTGCCAGATTGTCAATCTTGGATAAACCCCTGCCTCAAATTAGGTTTCACGAAAACAAAATTTGCACCTGCCTCCGTAACAAACCAAACACGGAAAGAAACAGAAGTAAGGAAAGCCCCCTCTCCCGGAGCTCCTCCCAAAAATTTGCTCATCACCCCCCTTCCCCCATATGTGCAGAAAGAAAGAAAAAGAAAACAAGCCATCCTCAGCTCCTGTTCGCATGCCCATCCCTCGTTTCCGCACAGCACGTGTTACCTAGCAACTCAACCTCACGGCCTCAGGAGTATACCCTCTTAGGAGAGTAGACCTGAGGGCTTGTGCTCCAGTTGGAGTGCCTCCGCCATGAAGAGCTTGCCCAGGTTCTGGGTGGAGAACTGGGCCACCTGCTGGCAGTACGAGTTGACCTGGCCGCAGTGGAGCACCGACTCGAGGCGGGAGGGTGCTGGGATGGGCTTGAAGAGCTTGTTGATGTCCTCCTCAGGCAGGGGCGGCTCGCCCTTCTGGATGCGGGTGCTGTTTTCTTGCGCCCGCTTCTGCAGGAACTGGGCTTTCTGCTGCTGCTGGCGCATCACCTGCACGGGCGAGGAGGGGTCGGGCTTCTTATGGCAGGGCGCTTCTACGGGTTAATTTCCGAGTACAGAGTGCCACGAAAACGTAACATGGGCGTACGACGACTGCATGGGTGGTGCAAGTATGGGACATGTGGTCAGTGTTGCCAGATTGGGCTATATATAGCCAAATTGGGCTACATTTTTTTCTAGTTGGCGTCAAAATTTCGTGGTTGGCTATATGGCTATTTTTGGGCTATTCCTAAGGGTGCGGCGAACTCTTGTCGAACCTCAGGTTCGACGTCGAACTTTGAGGTTCGACTAGTTAATTTTTGAACTTCTAATCAGTTTCGAAAAAAATTGTTTCTCTTCTGGCTAGTCGAGAGAAGAAAGGGGAATGAGAATGGCTTCAAACTTCTACAAACTTCGGGGGTTTTCACAATGCGCAGAAAAACAGTGCTAGCAGAGTTCAAGCGGTCTCCCACCAACGCAGTGGAACAAATCAAACAAACAGATTGCACTATTACCACAGGCCCGGTACCGCGTCTTCTACCCGGACGTAGACTCAACTCTCCAAGCGCAGCTTTGGTGCTCATTGTGAAAATTCTTAGGCATCGGCCATTTAAGAAAGGAAACACAATCAAAAATAGCGCGAACCGGAACGGGGGACGCTCATATTCTACGCAATTAAAAATAGACGGGTGGGTTATTGGTAAGAACCTTAGATATAGGAGGTTCTGGCTTGAAACTCCCAGTTCTGATTGTTCTGCATTCGGGGGGGGGGGGGGGGAAGGGGGGGGGGGGGGCTTCACAATACAGCTGTCCATGTATGTTTTCTACTTCTGAAAACCTACGAAGGATGGGTCATTGTTTCACACATTTTCAATCTCCTGAAGCTTTTTTTTTTTTTTCTCTCTTTTTTTTTTTTTTATTAGGGGACTTAATGTACACAGAAAGTGGCACATCTGAGGGTTGAAAAAGGTAATGTAACATGTTGTTTTTTACGACTATGAAAAATTGGCAATAAAAGGCTTAAAATAGTTGGCTATTTTGCTATATTTATTGGCTATTTTGGGCTATATTTATTTTATGGCTTTGGCTATATTTGGGCTATACCTCCCAGCCGTTTGGCGGTTTTTTGGTGGGACCATCTGGCAACACTGCATGTGGTCACGTGGTGGGTTCCACTACGGGTTACGTGGTCGCGCGACAATGTAACTTGGCTTCACGGTGTCACACAATATGTCAGTCCATGTAACTTGACATCAGTGTCTCACTACCACATAACTTTATGTCTCATTGTCATGTAACTATGTAGCTTGACGCCACGGCTTCATCTGATGCCGTGACATCGCAGTGGCACGTGACCACCCAAGCTGACATCACGGTGTCGCCACTTGATGTAAAGTGACACTGGGATGTCTGGTGACAGCCGAGTGTTACAAGACACCACATCGCAAGTGATGTCACCTGACCTGATAACAGGGTTGGGGTCATGTGACCACTGTTTAATATATTTATTAGGAAAAATACCACATGCTGAGCAAAAACAGCCCCTCAAATCTGTACTCTGCATGATTCTGACTTCATACGTCGGTTCAAGATTATTCATACTTTTGACACAGGGCTTTCCCGGAGGAAGTGACAGATCTGAAGGGAGCGCTAGTGTTTGCTTTTTCTCTTTTCCTGCTTCAAAAATTAAACAGTTTGCGATGTACCAACTCGGCTGGTCGCTGCCTAGGCCACCTCCACAGCTGGGTCTTGCAGGCAAGGACGAAAGAACCGAGGAAAAAGGTATTGCACTGACAAAGGGGAGGTTAGAAGATTGGTGGAAAGGGTTGCGGGGATGTGTAATGCTACAAGAAAATGATGGGTTATATGATTTAACGGGATGGAATGATCAGTGTAAATGTTTCCAGGCTAGATGGCAGAAGCCATTCCTCACCAGCCGCAGGCTAGTCTGTGTACGAAAGGCCATAGCCAGACAGGTCAATCGAAAAATAGCCTCCCTGCGCGTGCGCAGTGCCCATCGATACCTCCCTCTACCCACCAGACCGTGACGTCACGACGCCAAGATGGCGACAGCGTTTGCGAAAGAGAGTGAGAGACTCGCCTGGCGCTGGTAGTTGATGAACTTGTTTGTCTCCTGGTTGAGTGCGTCGACGCATCCCATCATAGCCTGCAGGTTCTTTTCCAAAACAAACGCCGTGCTCATGTCCAGCAGCTGTTTGCCCACGTCGACGGGCGTGGACTCCGTCAGCTCGCAGAGCAGGATGTTCACCAGGTGCGAGTTGCGGATCACCACGGGGATCTCCTCGAACATGTTCTCGAACGAGCAGCGCGCCGCCTTGAAGCTGTCCGCGCTGAACTCGTTGTCGCCGAGGAGCTTCATGGCCGGGTCCGTGAGCCGGAACGCGCGCAGGGACAGGAAACCCCGCGTCGTGCGCACGGGGTCATAGATGAGCACCACAGACTCGGTGATGTTGGTCTGGTAGCCGAACTGGGACTCGAGCAAGGGGCGGTTCGAGAAGCTCCCGAAGTTAGAGCTCTGGTACCACCCGACGTGGAGGTGGTCGACGTTCACGTGACGCATCTGCCGCATCATTTCCATCTGGTACTCGAGGTCATCTGCCTCTTCTTCCTCCGCGTGGCGCGGCGGGATCGGGAAGCAGTTGGTGATCTCGACGCAGTTGTTGTTGATTAGGCCTAGCAGGACTCCCTGAGCGACATCGAGGAGGCCCCCGGCCTCTTCGCTGCAGTGTTTGATGATCTTGAGGACGACCAGTCCGTCAACTTGGACGTAGTCGACCGGAGATTCGGTCTCCGTGTGCCGCCTGTCCCTGCTCGACGCCATTTTGACAGCAGAAAGAGTTGGTTGTCGCGCTCGACGCGGGAGGGCGACTTGCGGCGCACTTGACAATCATCATCATCGTCCTCGTAAAAAAATGATTTTTTTTTTGCATATAGTTTATTTAACGTTGATTGTTTAATTATTTAAACAATTTATGTAGCTTTACTATGTGTTCTTATTTATGAAAGTTCTTATTTTTGTCTAGTATTTAGTATACCTTGCGAGTCTTCCAAATCGCGAGTGTGCGCAGCGGACGTAAAACATGGCTGCCCCCACCGAAAAGTTTAAGCACGATTATTCGAGAAAGCAAACTTCCGAAGAAGAAACCGATCCTGTAGAGCAGATGTTGAAGAAAACTGGATGCATCGAATTGCATTACGCGGTTCAGGTAAAAAGAGATTCCCTATCTGGCGACAGTGTCATGTGCCTTCGCCGGCTCTGCCGATTTAAACCAGTTTCACTTCTCCATGCTTTTAGGAATGTATGGCGGAAAACCGTGACTGGAGAAAGTGTCAGGACGTTGTACGCCAGTTCCAAACCTGCATGGAAGAAAGCACAAAACGCAGGGCCGTGCAATAATACGGTATGTATTTCCCTAGGGTTGCTTCAAATTTACAGCAGCAGTGTGTTACACGGTGCCGCATCTGTGTTACACGCGTCTGTGTTCGACTGGATTTCCCGATATTATCAGAAACATTCTACTGTATTTGTTCCAACGATGTTCTCGCGGCGTGTGCGTGATCTACTCGACACAAAATTTTAAATTTAACTTTTAAGATTAGTAACTTTTTATGATAATAGATGGCGCCAGCCGCCGCCTGATCAATCGGTTTCGCTCATTGCACTTTCAATCCATTCATAAACCCAAGTTCAAAATACACTAATTAGATGGCGCCAGACGCCGCCCAAGCAGAGCTCTGCGCCCAAGTGCTGCAGTCTATACATTTTTCCATATATTTGTGATTTGTTTTTCTCGTGAATGAAGCCAAAAGATGTCAGCTGTGCAGCAGCCTTGGGGTCGGCACTCCGATGAAGCAGAATTTGGCGCCGGCAAGAGCGAGTTCGAAGACAACTTCTGCCCGTCCAGGGCTTTTCCGGACAGCGAGGACTACGTAGCATCCTTAGGTATTTCAAATGCTTGCTCCCATGCCGCGCTTAATGACGCTGACCTCCGCGCAATACACTCGATCACAATTAGCGTCAAGGGCCGTGCCCTTCGCGACTTGGTGTGTAAGCTGAGCTTTTCGGCACGAACAGAATGTCCGCCTATTTAGTCGATCGCCTTACGTATGCAGATGTAAGCAGCTCTCCTGGCTGGCCGGTTTATCGATCGGAGCACGGGTATATCTTTTATTGCTGTTTGTTTATACAGCGCCTTGTGCTGTTTCACTCTTTGTCCCTGTCGTTTTTGGCACTTTTATATATTTCACTACAAACCAACCTGCTCAACCTTCTACTTTTGCGGTTGTTTATGCAGGGTGCCCCAAAAATAATTTACATTTCATTTTACTGCAAAAATAAACTATGCACCGCCGAACGCTCATTCTCTACCTGGATGTAGCGCCAACGGTGCGAACCAGGGGAGCTATGTTCGACAAATGTTTCGTTTCTCTTAAAAAGAAACGGAAGTGACGCAAGGGACCATATCGCGTCTGATTGGCTAGAGGCTCAAATGACGAAAGAGGGAACTTTCGTCATGGGAGCCTCTAGCCAATCAGACGCGATATCATCCCTTACGTCACTTCTGTTTCTTTTTGAAACGAAACATTTGTCGAACATAGCCTCCCAGGTGCCAAAGTTTCAGAACTAATCGCTATTTTATTCCAAAGTTAAAAACGATTTTCTTAATATTTCAATACGAAAAGGGAGTCTTGTTCTCAGTCGCTGACTCCATTAGTCTCCACGTGTTTGTGTGCTTGAAAATTTTGGAAAATCGCTTGAAGTTTTGAATTGGAGAACGGCAAGCTCTGGAAAATTTGCATCTGATCCAGACCGCTACTGTTACGTGTGGGCGGAAGCCAAGCGTTCGACAATACATAGCCAATTCTTTGTGTCAAAGAAAAACAAGGTTCTTTTTGCTCCGAAACACCCTGTACATTCATGCTCATCTTGCGCCGAAAGATGCCGAAGAAGCGGACACTTAATGTGCTTCGTTTTTCTTGTGCCGGTTTAGACGTGTAGGACGTCAAACAGTAGCACAGCAACGACTCTATCGCAGTTTCTGAGGGGTTTGTGCGATGACATGCCGCACTTGATTTGAGGTCTCCATGCTCAGTCACCGATTAGACCCCTAAAATGCACCCTCTTGCGGGGGTGCTTTCTGATGGTCTATTCCCGCGACGGTGTTCTGCCCTGTCGCAGGAGTAGACCTCCGGAATGCACCATCGCAAGGGGGTGAATTCTTGCTGTCCATCATATGGTGGAACGGAGTAGTACAGTCTAATCCTAAGAATGGCAAGTACGCTCGTTTTCTTTCTAACCAGACAGGGGCGCTATAGTCACGGACAGAGTGAGAAGGGCAAGGCACGTCTTTCAAACGCCCGTCAGTCTCCAGCACGCACTTCATGCCTGCGCACCTGAGATGCCGAAGCGTCGTTGGAGGTGGAACGGCGTACTACAAAAGCTCCTCCCTGCCCTTCTCTCCCCATCAGTGACTATGCCACCTTTTCACGCGAGCGCGGTGGCCTTTTTTTGCAAATTGTCAGTGTTGTCGTCCCCCGCACCAACCCGGCTCCTCGTCCGGCTGCAATCGTTTCAGAGTCTAAGTTGGCCAGGCTGAAAGGGAAGGGCAGGGACGTGACGGCCAGGGAGATGCTCGGCGTGCTCGGGGAAGCGAGGCAGGACCACACGGGGCGCCTGCTGAGCACAGACCCCGACGTGGCGCCCGGGGCGACAGCATACCTCCCGGGAGAGGACTGCAGCGACGCTCCAGTGCGCTCCAGCTACCTCGAGGTGGGTCAAAGTCGGCCCGGGACGTCACCAGATGCTTCGTTTGCAGTCGGTGGCGACGCAGTTCCCGCGCCATTCGCACCAGGTCGTGCCAAAGTGCTTACCCCACTACATCCTGCTACGTTTCACTGAAATTGGAGGAATTTGTGCCAAACATTCATTTTACTTTGTCGATTCGGAAACGAAAGGCTGGGTTACACATTTGTGAGTGCAATTGGTTGCTTTGAACCGCTTGTGACCGCTTGTGTTGAGAGTGCACACTGGTGCCACCTATCGAGTAGCCTTGGAACACGTCTGAAGGGTTTGGAGTACTTGCAAGATAGAATTTGTGCACACTCTACAAGAAATTGTCTCTCTTAACGTTGTCAGAATCCTTTGAATCACACAGTGAAAGAATGATGCATAAAATATGTGTAGATTGAAAGTGTTCCAAGGCTACCTGGTAGGCGGCACCGGTGTGCTAGTGTGTCCTCCCACTGTGAGTGGTTGCGAGCGGCCACAACGCCCTCAAATGCAAATGTGTGAACCACCCTCAAGAAACCTCGGGAAAGTATGAGAAAAAGTGAGCTTGGTTGTGCAAATATTTCCATTTAGAGGAGCAACTTGACCAGCAGATTGCTAGCCTCTAGTTTTTTGCTGTAGTGACCGAACGAATTTGTGAACGGATTCGTGCCAGCACTGTGCCGGCCACTCCCATCTCGAAACCGGCGAGAGCACAAATCGAACCAAATCTGCAGTGCTTGAAACGACACACGGTGTGGCAGTATGAGCTGACCTAGCATCCTTCGGGTAGGAGTGGCAAAAGTCACGCGGGGAGCCTCGGCGCTCAGGTATGTTAACCCGTGAGAAAAGGGTGCGTGAATGGACTGCCATATTTTCTGTTGTTGCAGTGGTAGTAGGTTTTGTAGCTTAGCATGTTGGAGGCACCATATTTGACGTTATATCCTTTTCAACTATAGTCCGAGCGGGGGAGCGGGGCCAAAAGCTAGTTGCGGCACAAACACAAGTGTGCAGACTAAAAACGCGTACCCCTTTCAAATGCGAACTAAGAACACTATATCACGACACATTCCTCACGCTTGATTGGAGCAGCTCACGGTAACACACGCTTAGAAACGCACAAAAAATGCCGTGATCTAGCATTTTCTGAAAAGCCTGGTTGGCCCCTTTGGCTCATAGCGGCGGTGACTGTGGTGGTGGCACGAGAGTTGGGGCCTGTTTAGACATACAACACGGTACTACCTCAGTGCTACCTCACTGCCATTAGTCAGCACCGGGAATAGCACTGGCTTTGCTGATGGAGTGCTGTGATGTACGGGTGAACCATTCTTTAAGCTGGAATGAGGTGTCGCACAAAATTGAGCCGGGTCATATTGTTGCTGACTGTACATATCCACTCTAGACTTTCTGAGTCGGTGCGAATTGGTCTCTGCAGAAGAGGCTGTTTCCAGAGAGGCAAGCCTTGACGCAGGAGGAGCTGAAGTACCTCCTCGAGGCGGATTTCCTCGGAAAGAGTGCAGCAGCCGAGAACTCCACAACGGCCGAGAGGAGCAGGGCAAGCTTCTCGAGCGGCGATTCGGAGCCCAACCGATGAAGCAGACGGCAGTCTGTCCTTTGCTGAGCTCGCTCTTGTTTCCTGGTCAATCTAAGGATGGTTTATGTTTACGTTTAAGTCTACGGCAATTTGTTGAATAAATAGACACTGTGTCTTTTTATGTTGAGAATCTTGCCATGATGTACAGTCTGGTAATTGTCAGATCTCCAACCATATCAATGTTTGTTTGGAGTTATATAGGGTGTCTCAAGCAGACCTACCACTGTAAAATGAGCCGGAACATTCGGCGTCTCTACATACAAAGTTCTAACTTTCACCGAATGCGCACCGAGGAGGTCAGTGTGAAAGTTCGAACCGTGTGAAATCTCGAGGCGTGGGTCTCTTTCTGCAAGAGGTTGGAACAAAAAACTTGCCAAAGTCCACGTTAGGCCTGTTCACAGACGACCGAGTTCTCCGTTGCATCGTCTGCTCGCTGCACCTATTGGGAGATTTGCAGGTGCCGATTTTTCTGGCTCGTTTTACAGTGCAAGGTTCGCTTGAGACATATATTAGTTTACCACTGTTCTGTAGTAATGACGGAACATGAAAAGGGTAAATGCCCATGACCGGCAAAGGACTTGTACAGGCAGGGAAGATGAGATTGAAAGAAATTGAGAGGTATTGTACCATTGAATAATGTAGATCATGCTCTTTTTTTTGTTCTTTGCACAAACCGACGGTGCACTTAGTGTAGAGTATAAAAACATCTCAACTAGCTTTTTTTTTCAATAATATTTTGAAGGCTTTAGTACAGGGCATTACGGCATCACACAAGGGATGAGCAGCAGAACAATAAGACAAAATATGTAGTTTTTCAAAAATACACAAAACGAAAATTGAAGCACGCGGTATGAACTTAATGAAACTCAACATTGATAGTGAATGGGTCCCAAGTAGTCACTTGGTAGTTGTTTAAACAAGTCAGTGTTGTTAGCTGTGACTATGTTATTAGGTAAAGCATTCCACCCGGATATAGGAAGAAAATAATTGACATAGGAGGTGCTAGAGTCATAAATCGCCTCTGTTTTACAGCTATTGTCTAATCTTGGAGAGGTGGAAGTAAACTATTTTCAAGCGTGTGATTGTGGTGGTAAATTTTGAAGAGCTTTATCAATCAAGATATTTTTCATCTTACACTGTGGAAAAAAAAAAAAGTAAGTTCGGGAAGATTCGCCCTACAATTGTGTTGTGAGGTTTGAAAACATTAAATTTAGCTAACCAATCACTTCTCTTTTCTCGTATGCATGCTTTCTATCCGACGTCATCCCATCAGCTCTTTGGCCACCATCAGAGAAGAGGGGAAGGAGGAACTCCCACCTTACCGAAACTCGTTTGTGTGTCCCAGAGGCCGCTATTCTCCCTCTAGAAGATTATAGAATACTAACCGGTCACTCAATATTCGTACAAAAGCAGCTTCCCCCTTTCTCTTCCGTGATGGTGCGAAATGGATAATGGGACGTCAGTGCAAAGCATGTATACACTGTGTGCATTTCTTTTCCTTGCATGCACACCTAATATGTTTGGTTGAACTATTTCTTTCATATCCATGTTTTTTTGTAGATACCGCATTTTCCGGGCTATAGTCCGTGGACTGTACACGTTTAAAAGTTGAAACTTCAGGCAGTACGGACTATCTACGCCTGCGGACTACACAGGAATATTACTTTTCCAATACCATTCATTGTAACGAGGCGTGATGGATTTTGTGAATGAAAGATTATGTTAATGATGATTTATGTATGATACACGTTTCTTTGTGAGCTAAGGAAGCAGACATTTGTCAAGGTGTGCCGTGTATAAGATGTTCGTGTCGACTAAGCACCAGGTGCGGATTATGCACGGCGTGCGGACTATCTAAGCAAAAGCTTTTATTTTTGACCCCAAATTTGCTTCTGCGGACTGTAGCCCGGAAAATACGGTACCATCATCATAGTACTGTTCACGTATCATACGCAAATTAACCTTTCAGTATCAGAACGCTTAAAGGGATACTTCAACGAAATTTGACATAAAGCTGCCGTGTTGAGAAATAGGCTGAATAAGATCCACAATATGCGTAAATGCCAATCGCACGTTTGTATTTTGAGCCTGATGGCTGCAGTTTTCGTTATAAACGGCCCACTCTGGCAAGCGCTCGGAGAGCAGCCAGCGGAGGGCACGTGACATCCGACGCAATCGTGACGTAGGCTGTCTCGGGACGAGCGAAGCTGCGGCGAGGCTGACGTCGACAAGATGTCCTAGCCGTTCCAGCCACCGAAGCACGACAGCAATCGGTCCATTGCAACGAACCGCAAAGCTGCTTTTGTACGAATTTTGAGTGACGGGTTAATTTTTTTAATAATCTTCTAGAGGGACAGTAGCGATCGTCTAGGCAAGTCTGGGACATACAAAAGAGAGTCCAAGTAAGTAGGGAATTCTTCCTTCCCCTCTTCTGTCGTGGTGGACGGAAAGCTGATGAAATAACGTCATCGTCACTGGTTGTCAAGGTTCCTAGACGGGCTTTACCGACATCCACCAGGTGCCATTTACTAATCGTTTAATTCGTTTTTTAAATTCCATCTCGTGTCTCAACGAGAGACTGATGTGTCCGATGTGATACTGCTCCCTTGAACACGTATAGACCAAGAAATAAGCGCCGAAATTTCGTTGTAATATCCCCACATCTTGTTCACTCATCAGAGAAACCACCCCCTCTATACTGATGCATCCCTTCGTTTCACCGCGTCTTTTATCTATTCGAGGGACCCGAAGCGAGACAAAACACCGTCCCACACGCAGGCTGGCGGGGCCACGGCCGCAAAAGCGGGATGACGTCTGGTCACTTAAACTTGATAAAATCACACATACAAAAAAAAAAAAAAAAAATACTATACACGCTTGGTTTAGTTGCATTTACAGATTGCCTGCTCTCTCTCTTGTACAAACGGGACGAAAAGAAAATAATTTTCGCAGAACCAGAAACTAAACGTTCTAGTCGCACTCACGACGACGTTCTTGCACGTAAATCGTTGTTCCCCCTGCGGTTTTCCCGCCTAACCAAAGGAAAGCCACGAATGCAGGGACAAATTTGATGCATTCTTTCCTCGGCGCGAATCCACCTTCGTATATGCATTTCGCTTTTCTCATATGCTTTCGAAACGCAATATATAATATACTCGACTGTGAATAATAAAACTCCCCCAAACCACACCCCCCCCCCCCCCCCCCCCCACCCCTTCCCTTTTCTTTTTCCACTTTATCTTTCTTTAGCTTGCCTTTCCCTTCGAACCATGAACGCACAGAGATTGTTCGGTTCATATTAAAAAAAAAAAAAAAAAGGTTAAAGCAAATTTACAAGAAAAACATACGAAAGAACAAAACAAGAAAACAGCCATCACCGTGAAAATTATCAAAACATCCTCACCTCACGTTTGGCATTAAACCACATATATGTAAATGAAAAAAAGAGAGATAAGGGGAGGGTGGGAGAGGCAGAATGGCAGGGGCGGTTACCTGGTTCCCAAATTTATGGTCTCCGTGCAGCTCGTATGACATTCCAGTCTGCGGGCCTCAGCCGGCGCACGAGGGTGCCCGCTGCGATCTTCGGGGCGGTGGATATTACACTAGCCGCGGAATATCTCGGCTGAAGCTGGCTCCATGTCTGTCTCGGGGTGAAGACAACTTTTGCCGCCTCGGGACAATGTCGAGCAAAACGGGGCTGTGCCGTTTTAAGCCTCTTGTGCCATTTTACTTAAAGAGCATGTTTGTGCCTTTCGAGGGAGAACTGTTTGTGCAAAAAAGAGGAATTTGCATTGGTTCATGCGTGGCACAGATACTGTCCAACGTAAGTGCGGGAGGAATATTTCTGAAACACTGGACGACGTGAACCGATTGAATATTTCCAGATATGCTGATGACATTCTAGTGCTTAGTAAAATGGCCGGTGTGGGTAAACGGGCAAATGCAGCTCCTATATTTTTCGGCTGAACCATGTGGAGGACCACATCTGTTGGATATATGAACCGCAGTTTCGCTCTGCCCACTCTAAAATAGTAAAAAAAGAAGGACTGCCTCTATGTGCCTCGAGGCATCACATAGAAAGTCATGCGCACATGGCACACATGAGAGCTTCACGAAACTCGTACCGCGGTTACAGAAAGCGGGCTACCCCCAGAGCACTCTGGCGGAGATGGCGCGGGCAGCCTAACAAAAGAAGATCGAAGGCACACGGAGGCAATCTCGTGAAAGAGACTCGGCGAGGTCGGTGGTCATCCCGTACGGAAGTACCCGTCGTTTTTTCCGCGCCTAATAAATAAGCTACCGCGACTATGCCGTGAAATCAGCAATCTCCGTAACAGGTTCACAGAGTGCGCCACGGGAGTGGTATATGAAATCCCCATGTCACGCGGAAGGTCGTACAGATCGGCCGGACGGGCAGATGCCTTAATTACCGCGCACGCGAACATGCAGCGGCTAGACAGAATACCACGTCAGGACAACTTGCTGCTGCTTGCAGCCGCTGCGCATGTACGCCGCCATTTGAGGACATGAGAATTTTGGCTCGGTATCTCGATCGGATACGCATCCGACGCTGCGAGCTGATGGGTCCAATCCAGACAGTGTCAAAAGGGCACCATCGTGGTGCTCGTCATGTTTACGCACGTGTTCTATCATCGCTGAACTAATCGCAAACAAAAAACGCCCAGTGACTTGCGCTTTTCTAGCTGCTTGATTGATCCCGTTAGAGTCGTAGTGTCGGCGAGGCCTTTGAAATAAAGAAAAAGGCGTAGATTGTATTAGCGACAAGTGTCATTATCAGCTAAAGGGTACGCCTCTTTGCGAAAGGGGCTGCACCCGATGTAAGAGTGACTACCTATTTTACTTGGTTAAACTTTTAAAATAGCGCAAAAAAGACAAGTACAAGAAGTATACAGGACAAGCTCTAGTTTTCTATTTTACCACGAGTGTGTAGGAGATGGGTTTTCGATAAATTTTAGTTGCGAGTGCGGGCCTGTTTTCGTCCCGTTTCTTATATATTGTCCTCGCGTAATTTTGGCGTTTTTTTTTTTTTTTTGACGTGATAGTATACTAACTAGCCCAAATCGCCATTTTGATGCAGACATACGTGTTCGATGCATGCATATGTATCGAGCAAAC